TCTGTGGCATACCAAGTTTTGCGACAGGAGGTCGCAGAATCCCTCTCCAACCCCGAAGGACCGGATGGGGGACACTACTCCTCCGTTTTCTATGTTTTTTGGGGCACGATGTATGGAAAGAGGCCCCGCAAGGGCTACACGAGGTAGACGAACGAGTGGAGTGGCTGATGAACAAGCCAATGCCAGAAGGTGTGATTTCGGAGTTCAAGGACCGATTAGTGAGTGGTTGGAAGCATACACGTTTAGATGTCCAGCCTGACGTGTATCCGTCAGACGGCAAACAACCAGGAATTCACATGGCGAAGTATAAGCATTGGATGGGGCTGGCGGCCGAGCAAGCGGGCAGGAAGGAGGTGCTCCCGCACATCACAATGTTTATCCCACGTTCGGCGAATTGCAAGCTTATGCAGTTTAGGCTTTGCTGTTGGGCACTGGCGGCTAACAGAGCGCGTAAGGGACGGCGTTATATACCTAGGGAGGAGCGAGTATGCCCCTGCTGCGGCACTGATAGCCACATCGAGGATGAGAAACACATTTTGCTGGACTGTCCGGTTTACGACGGAATCAGATCTGATATGGGCTTTCCACGCTTCGAACATATGAAGGACGCTATGAAGTGGGAACCTGAACGCCTGGCAAGAATGCTGGAACGTATATGGTCTCACCGCAACTCTATCGTTCCCTTTGGTCGTTAGTATACTTCATTACTTGTTTCGTTGGAAGTGCGAGGTAGGATGGTGCTTATAGGCGATTTGGCAGCCCTTGAGCCCTCGGCTCGTACTAGGGTGGTTTGCAGGTACGGGGAACGCACCCACGACCATGTAACAACAACAACAACAACATATGTCTTAACCAATATCCCGGCACTGTCTAGATGTGGCCCTCCTTTCGCCCTCTCTGTGCCTTCTCCCCTCTCCACTCCTTCCCTTTGCTCGCCACCCAGACTGGCTGAGTGGCTCTTGGGTGTGGAGGAGCACTGCCGGGCAGCTCACGAGGTGGAACTGGCCGGAGCGCAATACACAGCAGCACCAGGAGGCAACCAGCTCCCGTAACAATCTGCCAAGCTGTACCAAGTAGTCACATACCGCCTCCTGCCTCTCTCCAAAGGACAAGACGCAGAGACCGGCCGTTTTGGAGTTGGGTCAGCTGCGCGGTAACCGTATCCCACGACACAGCTGAGACACGTGTAGAGTTACCACGGAACGCTGCATTACGGGATTTTGCATCGTTAATCAACAAACATTTGCTGAGTTGTCGATTGCACTCCCGGTTGCTTCCCATCTGATGGGTACTCCTCTGGCAAGACAGTCAGACGCGTATGGTCCCAGCCGCTCATCAAACGCTCTCTTAGTGCCGTTATCATCGCTCCTTTTAGGGTAAAGGTCTACTCAACCACCAGTCAACACGCTCCTTTACCCCCACGACTTCTTGCGGTATTCCGCTCCAAAGGTCTACTCAACCACCAGTCAACACGCTCCTTGTGTGTTTGTATGAAGGCGCTCTCGTCGGTGTGTGTGGATGCCGCGGCGTGCTTCGCGGGTCCGTCTCGAATGGTAGGTAGCTGCGTTCCCGTCTCTCCGGGGGGAGCTCTCATGCGTTCACTAGGGCTCCTGGGTGCTGGTAGGGGACTGGGTGTTTTGCGTTTTGGAGGTCGCGGTCCGTTTGGCTTTCCTGGGGCGGGGGTTCGCATCCGGTTTTGCTAGGTGCCACCTAGACCAGTGGTGAGGCTGTGCTTCGCTTTTTTACCCGCCATCCGCTAGGCTTTCATCGCGTATTAACCGGCTCAGGATATCCTGGGTTGGGTGCCTTTACCGTGTTTACCGATAAGCTGGACGGTGCAAGCTATAGGGCCTACGGTGTTGTGCTGATGCATTCGAGCCGTTCGGGGTCCGCTGTAACAAATCGCGTTCTGCTTTTATGTTAGATTGGAAACCACACAACTCCCAACTCCACGGGCAGAATAGATTAACCTATTACGTTTAGGTGGCCGAATCTCTGTAAATTGGAGGTTGTCCACAACCCGTCCATCACTGCTAAACGAAGCCGAACTCCTCCAGACAAACAACTCGCAAGGTGGTGTTGAAAAACACCGGATTTGGATTGGAGAGACTCCGCGCGCGGGCGAGTCATGGCGTCAGGCCTTTAAGCGCGCTCGCCGCGGATGCGCCTTGCCAGCTGGATGTCCTTGGGCATGATGGTGACGCGCTTGGCGTGGATAGCGCACAAGTTGGTGTCCTCGAACAGGCCCACCAGGTACGCCTCGGCAGCCTCCTGCAGCGCCAGCACGGCCTGGCTCTGGAAGCGCAGATCGGTCTTGAAGTCCTGAGCGATCTCGCGCACCAGGCGCTGGAAGGGCAGCTTGCGGATGAGCAACTCAGTGCTCTTCTGGTACTTGCGGATCTCACGCAGAGCGACCTGCAGGCAAAGTTACGAAGCAATGGTTGAGTCAATATTTTAACACTTGTGGGAAGGAATGTGCTCAAAGGGAATGGAACAACATGGAACAAATAAAACTCCTATTCAAGCTGCACACACAAAAAAAGGGACTCACCGTGCCGGGACGGTAGCGGTGCGGCTTCTTGACACCACCGGTGGCGGGGGTCTTGCGAGCTGCCTTGGTGGCCAGCTGCTTACGGGGCGCCTTGCCGCCGGTGGACTTGCGCGCAGTCTGCTTAGTGCGGGCCATTTCTTATGATAAGAAAGGAAAGCTGGAGAAGTCAAAAGTCAATTAGGAAGGTAAGTTATGATTGACTGAGAAACTCGCGGCTGTCTTATTTGGGATCGCGAAGGCAGTTGTACGGTGACCGTTGCCCCGGTGATCCAAATGGCAAAGGCGATCCGAAGCGTACTGGAATGCTTGCCGAATACAGGTATAAATTGCACCGATAGCCCCTTTTATGGCATAATACAGTCTTCCTTTAACACCTGCAATTTATCCTCCTTCGGAACTTACAGTTTCCTCTGCAAGATGTCTGGTCGCGGCAAGGGTGGCAAGGGTCTGGGCAAGGGTGGAGCCAAGCGTCACCGCAAGGTACTTCGTGATAACATCCAGGGCATTACCAAGCCCGCTATTCGCCGTTTGGCTCGCCGTGGTGGTGTCAAGCGCATCAGCGGCCTCATCTACGAGGAGACCCGCACTGTGCTGAAGAACTTCCTTGAGAACGTCATCCGTGACTCGGTGACCTACACCGAGCACGCTCGTCGCAAGACCGTCACGGCCATGGACGTCGTCTACGCCCTCAAGCGCCAGGGCCGCACCCTCTACGGCTTCGGTGGTTAAGCCCGTTCAGTCCACTCGCTTCGTTGGCCTTCGCGGCAAACGAAGCAAAACATTCAATCCGGTGTTTTTCAACACCACCAAATCGCGTTGGAAATCCTGACCCTTTCGCCTGTTGTCAGAAGTTTGACATCATGGACATCTTTTTCCACAGAATGTAGTTTTTAACTTGTCCAGCATTAACTTCACCAGCCTCATGGTTTCACTTTGATAATTTACACTAATGTCTCTTTTCACGCGAGGTCCGGTGATTCTGCTGGTATCAGCATCTGTTGGGCAAGAAGCATGCCGTCGTGACCTACTGCCAGTAGCTCTTTGCTCCTGCATTGCAATGCAAGATGCATTTACTGCATGCAAGAAAGCAACACATGTCAGCGCAACAGAGCTTCCCGCCAATTTACAACCCCGAGGAAGGATACGGGCAGGTAGGAGGGTGCACGGCTTGCAACCGTAAGATCAGCGCCTTCTGTCTGTGCACCATGTTTCCCCACCGTCACAGCTCCCCCCGCACCAGCAACCCACCGCCAACATCACTGTCGCAGAACTGTGGCCCTGTAGCCTTGTACATTACCTTCGCAGCATTCGCCATGCAGCAGTCTTACGGCAATCTCGAAAGAGTGTAGACAGTTCATGGAAGCCCTCCGCAGCTTAAACTCCTCATTCCATACCTTTTGTACTACAGCATGTACTACATGTTTCGCACCTCTCGTCACCCAAACCTTTCAAACCTCCCTACATTCTTACTTGCGCTGCTCCGTTCCATCCTGAAAATATCCTATGTTGGGTCCAACCACGCAGCAGCAGCAAGAGCACCAAGAGAAAAACAACTACAGAAAAATTGACTAACAAAGATTCTGAATATCACACACCGCATCATCACGTACCGTACGGCAGCGGCAGCGGGGTGCGCCGCCAAATGCAAAGGCACACATAATGCACAAAGACAATATTAACTTATGCTAACTGCAAGCACGCTCACTGCAGATACCCATCCTCACTCGTACATAGATATGCACGCACGCACGCACAAACACACACACACACACATCCTAACCGCACCACAACGCACATCATCCCCATATCTTATAACATTAGTGCATGTTACGCATAGCATTACGCATTTCTGACCTCCCATTGCTGACCTGAACCCTAAGAAGGATAATCACAATGCTCATTGTTTATTCGAACAAAAAAAATCATCTTATCATAACGCCATAAATGTCTATTTGGGCTCCTTATACATCAAAACTCGCTCGCCTGCTAAAGGTTGTTCATTCGTTATATTGTTATAAATCCATGGTGATGATGATGATGATGATAATGATAAGGGTGATTATAATGACATGATGTTTCAAGCACAGCAGCACAGCAGCACGACACAGGGAACTTGCGGACAGAGCCGGAAAACCTATGTCATATACATACCTACATTACTTACATACATACACAGGTTAGGCACTACTGGTATCGCGCGACCATTGCACCCTGGGAGATACCGGGATCGAGACCTGTCAGGGTCGAAAATCCTTCCGCAGGTGGAAGGTATTACGCCCCCAGTTGATGGATGGTGGTGACCTGGGATAAAGTTATCCCAAGCCGACCAGGAATAGAGTTGGGCCGCTGTTGACCCGGCAGATTCCGTTGGATGCTGGTGGTGGGTACGGAACCTGAGCGATCCACTGAGAGGTCGGCTAGGGTGACTGGATGAGGGTGCCCCGAAATACCGGGGAAGGCAGGGTTTCGCAGGGTAGCTGCCACGGGTGAAGATATAGGTTGGGTTTTAGGGTTTCAGGTTCCCCTGTTTCACACATCATACACACATAGGCACGCCTGCGGACCTAACCGCCGGCCCCACTGTTCGGCACGCAAGGCATATTTCCATATGCACATACATACACACATACATACGCCGCTCCACTTTCCGCCGCCTGTGTGTGGGATGGCAGCGGCGGCGATGTTTGAATGCATCGCGGCGTTTCATGCCGTAAAAATCCGCGGCCCGGGTGTGATCAAGCGCCGTACCGCCGTACGGCGTCGCCAAGCGCCACCGCCGCTGCTGTGGCCGCCGCGATCATCCACCAGGGCGCTGACGCTGACGCCGCAGCGGAGCCGCCGTCGCCGCTGTTAGCAGATCCAGATCCAGATCTACCTAGCTGCTGGTGAAGCCCCGCCGCGATGTCGACAGCAGCCGCGCACGAGGACGAGTCCGTGAAGGAGCGACAGATGGCCGTTGCATTATTTAGGTAAGCCACCCACCTGCATCATCACGTAATGCATCCAGAGGAGCAGGTGTGGGGGCAGGGGGAGGAGGAGGGGCAGGAGGGGGGGAGGGAATCACCGAATTATAAAAATCTAAGACAAGGGAAGTAGGGCGGCATGCACGGCACCAATAATGCATAGGGTGGCAGTGATACGACGACGGAAGGGGGGAAGGGGAGGTTGGGAGACCCCGGCGGGCGACCGGCAAATGGGTAAAACACACGTGTGCATGCGTACATACATACATACATACATACATACATACATACATACATACATACATACATACATACATACATACATACATACATACATACATACATACATACATACATACATACATACATACATACATACATACATACATACGTCTCCGCCTCCCCGACCTCACCGATCAAACGGATCCAGAGCGAGCGCGGGCAGTAGCCCCGGGCGCACAGTGCACGCCCCCACTCCCAACCACTGGCAGCGCCCAGATGCCGACGGCGGGGCCCCCGGGGAGGCGGCGGCAGCGGCGGCGCATTCGGACGCCGACTGAGAAGCGGCGGCGCAATCCCGTGCGGCGATCAGAAGCAGCGGCGGCTGGAAGGTGCCGTTCTCCTTCGTACAGCGGGATGAGAGCGGCGACGACAACGACGACGAAGATGATGATGAGGAGGAGGAGGTAGGGAGGCTGATGCTGTTGAGGAGGGCGGACAAGAGGTCTTGGTTGGCCTGTATGTGCGTACGTACGTACGTATGTATGTGAGGTGGGGTGGGAGGGGGAGAAGGGACCGTGACGTGGTGGTGTGTGGGGGGAGAGATTTAGGTGTTTGGTGCGGCAGCAGAGGGAAGTGAAGCGGGCGAAGGAGGTGTACGGAAACCTGGGGGATCCGAACGGTGAGTGAGTAGGGATATCAGGTGGCGTCGTGGTGAAGGACAACGGGTTACCTGCTGCCGAGGAGGTCGACATGGGCATGGTGGGCGGGGGGCAGGCAATGAGGGGGGGGGGAGGAGGTGGACCCCACGGTACTGATTGGGGTATTGGGGTATTGGGGGGTATATTGGGATATATTGGAGTATATTGGGGTAGGGGGGTATTGGAGTATATTGGGGTAGGGGGGTATTGGAGTATATTGGGGTATTGGGGGGTATATTGGAGTATATTGGGGTAGGGGGGTATTGGAGTATATTGGGGTAGGGGGGTATTGGAGTATATTGGGGTATTGGCGGTGGGGAATTGGAAACCGAACAACACGGGGCATAAGGAAAAAGGGGGCAGAGGGAAAGGCCTGGGGGAAAGCGTGTACTAGTAATCCCATACATACATACA